TTTGCAAGAAACTTTCCTACAAATTTTTTTTTTGCAAGAAACTTTCCTGTGAATTTTTTTCGCAAGAAATTTCGCAGGAAAATTTCGTTCGAATTTTAGAATTCGCAAAAATATATATTATCCAAGAAGGTATTACCTGCCGATAAACAAATTTCGCACCATCTTAAGTATAATGTATATAACACAATTCAATAATTAAATTAGTTAAATTTACATTATAAAAAATTGTTGAAAATATAAGATTTAATGTATATTTTAAAATTTACACTTAGAATTAACAAATTCTCATTCTCTCTCCACACACACATATATGTTTTGATATAAAGTAATATTTTTATCTCTTTCATGAAAATTAATGATAAAAAAGAAATGTAAATTAATAAATTACAATTTTATTTCATAAATTCAATAAAATTAATTAATAAAATTATTTATATTAGTATGTGTGATTCGATTAAAATTATATTGATAGGTGTGATTTGTTAAAAATATTTTATAATAAGCATCAAAATGAGTAATATCTTTCGTGTTTACAGACATCGGTCCATAAGCTACAATAACATAATCTAAATTTAACATAATGAGTGATTGGAACATATTATCCAGGAATGAAAGATGTTTTTAGTAGACCTTAATTTGGCCTCCCGCACTTGTAGATGAATAGTACAGAATGACCACTTTAGCATCGTCAAGCAAGAATCTTATCCAGCAGGAACCATAAGGGGCTCATGTAGTGTTGGATGGCTTTAGTAGTTCAAAGCATATATGTAAGTTTAATTAATTTAAATAATTAACCTATTAATTAAACCAAAAAAAATATTGAAATTTATGTTCTATATACGCCCTAACATGCTAAGTAATCCCAAGTTTAATAAAATTTGGAGAAAGGCTGATCAGAGTTATTTAAATATTCGACCACTGATCAGTATTCCAGCGTATATAGGTACGTTCATCAGAAATGAGTATCATATATAGGGGAGGCCCTTTTCAACAAAACATTAAAGACACTCCTTAACTCTCTCTTTATTTCTCTGACCTAATAAATTCTACAGCTATGATAACAACCAATCAGGTTTCAAACAGCTTTTACTATCAGAAACACAATCAAAATGAAACGAAAAAGCATATAAACCACATAGCGTTTCTTGCATATATAGTTGCCACATAAAGCAGGACCAGGACCACATTCTCCTTCAGCTAGTGTGCTTTTGAGTTTCCTGTACCATCAGGCTCCTGAAGAAGTTCTTCCAACAACTTATTGTCAAAGTATTCCACTTCAAAAGTGTCGTCATCATCATCATCATCATTTTGCTGCTGCTGTTGTTGTTGTGTTGACGAACCCTCACCAGAGTAGGAATTAGGGTAAGAAGAAGGAGGAGGAGGAAGAGGCAATGAAGTGTTTGGACTAGGAGTAGTGGTGTGTCCATGATCATTAGGGAAGTTGAGTATGGCCCTGTGACCACGAAAACGAAAAGCAGCCACATCGTAGGCACGTGCGGCTTGTTCAGCAGTGTCAAAGGTTCCGAGCCATATGCGAGCACCTTTTTTTGTAGGGTCACGAATCTCTGCTGCAAACTTACCCCATGGCCTCTTACGAATCCCTCTGTACCGAACCTCTCCAACTCTTCTCCCACCCTCCATTCAAACAAAAACAAACTCAATACCTCTTTTGCTTGCTTGCCCTAATAAAGTACTGTCGCTAAAAAGTAAAAACCTGCTTTGCTTGCACAACCTGTTATCAAGGTAGTACTTGGGCTCAAGGGATTTGCCGTATTTATATGCGTGATCGGGTCGTAAGTGACGGTTTGAATTTCAACCTCTTTTTAAATTCTGTCATTAATTAATATTAAGTAATGGTTGACACATAGACGAGTAAATAATTATAAAATAATATTTATAACTATTTAAGTTTATTAAAAAAATGAGAAGTAAAATGTGGTGTTTTCTAAAGTAAATACTACAGCATAAAGTTATTATTAAAAATGTCTGTAAGAGGTTGAGATTGACCTCACTAAGAAAGTCTTGATAAACAAATAAGAAAGATAAGTTCATGCATGACGAATGATGCAAGTACATGATCCCCTCGAACTTAATTGTCTTGTAATGCCCCTCACGTCACGATGATGTGATTGGATCATGGCTGAAATTTATGGCCCAGTACAGGTTTGGAGGCCACGGCCCAACCCTATTCTTCACACCTATATTGTAGAAGACAATGGATCAAGATTCAAGATGCTGCCACTCTTGTAGTTTTTTTTTTCTGTTAGATTTGCAAAATACTCCCATAGCATAAAGTGCACGTACGCCTCACAACGAGATATGACACCTTTAACCTTATAAATAAAAGGAAACTAAAATTGTTGTCATAATCAAGATCCTACTCTGGGTATGAGATAGGTTTCAAAGTTTGACACTATCTGATTTAGAGTTGTGTTCTGTCACACTTTTGCCATGGCCAAGGTTTTTAATTATGTTGTAAGATAAGACGGCATAATGTTGTTAAGCGAGATATCTACTGGGTTCCTTGATCGTTCAATTGTGTAAATCTAAATCTTATTTTGCTGCAGATGATTGCTTAAGGGGACGGTTTGGGATGGACTTAGGAGAGAAAGCTTGGTGTTCAAGCCCTAAACTTGGCTCCATCCAACAAGATATACACAACTCTCACTACTACAAAAACAAATTTTGATGACAATCTTATGGTGGTAAGAACATAATTAGCACTAAATTAATCATAAATTACATAATTTGTGATCAATAAATATTAGTCGTTAAAATTCATTATTTGTTAATCATTATTTTATATATGTATTAGTTTAATTAAGTTTTTCTAATATTTTAGTAGGTCTTTTACTAGCATTTTATGTAAATATTGGTAATAGTACACTAATGATTCTAAATACACCAATCATTACTTAATTGTTGATAAAAAAAAATAATGATTCTTAAAAAAATAAAATAATGATTGCAAAAAAGTAACTTTGTTGTAGTATCTTCGCTATCTATTAATATTCTAGAAGGGTGGATAAACTTTTGTAAAAGTATAACACTTACGCATGTAGTATCATAAGTATTGTTGGTATTGTTCAATAAACAAAATTAGAGTTTTGATTCATAGCATTGACAAAAAAAAAAATATTATGCATATTATCAAAATAAAATTCTAATTTTGATTAAAAAAACAATACTAATAGTATAGTATCTATGATATTGTTTTTAAATTTTATCATTTTTAAAATTATTTGAAATTTGAGTTCTCAATCAATTTACCTGGCCCTTGTGAAGTCAATCACAAGTGAATCAAAATTATAAATGATCATTAGTCACTTGGAAATTGAGTTCGTATACTTTTGGTTTAATGAGTTTATAAATCAAAATTATAAATTATTTTACATAACTTATCCTCAAGAAAACATTATAGTTAGAGTGTATAATTGTAAATTGTTAAAAAGAATTACTTCAAATCAAACTAAATTGAATTGCACATTAATATTATACTTATATTGATTTTACTTAATGGATATTTAAAATTTTCAAACTTTTAATAGTAGTGTATGATTCATAATGTACATCATTTTATAAGAGGTTTGTAATTATTTTTCTAAGAAAATATAGCATAATATATATATATATATATATATATATATATA